GAGAAAGATAGATAGATGGAGATAGATAGATAGATGGATAGATGTGGAGAGAAAGGAGACAGAGAGAGAGATGAAGATAGATGGATAGTTGTAGAGAGAAAGGAGACAGAGAGAGAGATAAAGATAAAGAGGTGAATAGATATAATGAAAAAGGAGACAGAGATAGAGATGAAGATAGATAGATGGATAGATATAAAGAAAAAGGGGACAGAGAGAGAGAGAGAGAGAGAGAGAGAGAGCAGGGGCGACAGCTAAATAAGTACCTAGACAGATGGATAATTTGCCGTTTGCAAGCTTAGAGGCAAGATTTTAACTCTGTCAAGGAAAATAATATTGCAATGAAAAAGAGAAATTCTAAAAAGAAAAAACAAGCAAACTTGGCAACACCAAAAGAACCGTTTTTGTTGTTATTTTCTTTTTGTTTTTTTTGTTATTGATATTGTTAAAGTTATAAATGTTTTGTTGTAATCGTATCATTATCATTACGGATATCAATATTGTAATTACTGATATCGATAATAATGATATAATACGTTGTCGTTAAAGGGTTCCCATGTTTCCAATTTTTCGAGCCTAATCAGTTAATCAATTTGATTGATTTGCAAATGATATTCTTAATTTGATTAAGATAACAGTTATCGATTTATCTGCTTAATGTTATGATGTTTTTTTCTTTCTTTTTGTGATAGTGATGGGGATGATTATGATCATGATAGTGATAACAATTGGTATAAGGATGGTGTTGAAAATAAATAATCACGGTAAATACTCCGGGTGTGGTGGTGTTGATGGAAGTAATGATGATGATAATGATGGTGATGACACCTATTATGATGGTGATGTGTTAAGAATAGCCATTTTACTACAGAAAAGAAGTATTTTTACAAGTATAGGTCTTCATATGTCTGCTTACCTGCTAAGCTCTCTAAATGTATTGAAAGCTTTCGTGCTGGCACTGAGCACTTGCGTGCGCTTGCCTTTACGGGACTGTATCCGCATGATTGTATATGCTCGTATATGCTGTGTTTGTTTCCCTTTGTCCGCAAACTTGTGCCTGCGCTCGCTATGACCAAGGAACAAAACTGAACTAAATTTACTTGGGCTGCAGTTCACTCACAATTGATTTTTTTTTTACTGATTGTAGGCGTAAGATGGGGTGAAGGGAGCGGGCCTGGGGTGAGGGAAGGGAGAGGAAAGGACTAGGAAGATGGAACCGAGCTTCGGGAGGGGGTTGAAGACAAGCAAGGGAGAGATGGAAAGGAAAGTGGAGATAGAAAGAGGGAGCTGTTTTTGTGGAGGGAGGGAGAGGAGAAAGGGAGGTAGGTAGGCGAGCGAGGCGGGCAGGATAAGGAGAACAGACGATAGGAAAGAGAAAAGGGTGGGCAGGGAGTGAGGGCCTTAGGGAGAAAAGAGATGGAACAGGGAAGGGAGAGAGATGAGCAGGGAGACGAAAAAGCTGGGGAGAAAAGAAGAGGGGAGAGGGAGTAGCGAGGGGTATCACGGAACATGAGGCAACTCCAGGAAAAGAACGGCTGATTATAGCTTAATTTCGGTTTAAAATTTCGCGTAATTTTGGGGGCCTGGTTCATGGCTCGCTCGTAAACATGGTTGTGCTTTTTTAGGGGTGCTGAGTGAGTCATAGATGAACATTGTAAAACAAGAAACGAAAAAGCAGCTAACAGAAAAAAATACTGTATTTTAGAATTTCAGAATGGTATTTTTGGTGCTTTAGAAACACGAAACGCAAAAAGAAACCGATAAAATATGACCCTGCTCTCTTCCGAAGTCTAAGACTGCCCCAGGATCCCATTTTCATAGTTTTAAGTTTTTTATTGTGAGTAATATCTTTTGTTCCGAGAGTGAAGGCAATAATCCCTCCGAGACTGCAAGATTTAAGGCGAAAAATCAGTTTCCTGAACTTTCCTTGCACACTTGTCAAGAGCGCGGTAGTGAAATGTGGGTTACACGCCCGTAGACTTTATGCGGTTTAAACACTGGGTCTTCTTTGCTCATTTCTCTCCATCGCAAAATTTTCCTATTTTCCTTACCTATATCGTCCCTTTATTCCCGTATCCGTTCCTCGTAATATCTCATGCAGTTTGCCTCCCACCCATAAATCAGTTTCTATTCCATATGCTATCCCTCCGACTGTCAAACTGGATGGCCCATCAGTCACGCCGGTCGGCAGTTCATTTGCACGCTTGTTAGTGTGCTGTCCTTCCCTATACATAGCGCCCGAATGGCTTCTAGCCTGCCTGAATAGCGCTCTCCATGGATGCCTGATTGCTTGCATAAAGCACGAACTGCCTGCACTTTCCCCAGTGGGTGCTCCTCTTCCTGGCTCCCCCCCCCCCTCCCTTCCTTCCTTCCCTTGCGCTTTCATTCCCTCTCCCTTTCATCCTGGTATTTATTCCCCCTTGAGATGGCCTTTCAGAATAAAATTTTCGTTTTCTATTCCTTTATATATATATCTTTTACGTATTTATTTTTTCCTCCCCTC